GTTGTGCAGGGCCATCGAATAGCCCACGAACCAGCGAGCCGCGACATTTCCATTTCCCCCAGCGTGTGTGCAGTAGCTCTCGGATGCTGACAGCATGCACAAACTCGTCACATACGTGTAGCTCTAGCACGGATGTTCGAAGTTCGTGTGGACGCCTGCTCCTCAATCTTTGTGCATCGCAATACAACATTTCCTTGCACGCACGTTGTGTAGTTATGTCTCTGTGTGTTTGAGTGTGTGGTGGACGGCTTCACTTCATATGTCGGTGCATCTCAATACAACACTTCCTGGCACACACTGTCGCTGTAATACGTGTGTGTGTGTGTGTGTGTGTGTGTGTGTGTGTGTGTGTGTGTGTGTGTGTGTGTGTGTGTTTGCGGGTGGGTTAGAATCGAGTGGAACTATCAGTGTGTGTGTGTGTGTGCGTGTGTCTGCCAACGACCATTCGCACTTACGTCATTTGCACACACAAACACACACATGATCGCACAAGCACGTATACATACGCACACACGCAAGCGCAAGCAAGAACGGTCACTGACGTGGTTGATGTTGGTGCATCTGCCTCGAATTCCAGGAAGAGGGTTGGAGTGGGCAGCGTGGTGTCTGGGTCGGAGGGAATGCATTGCCGCCCAAACGAACCTGGTACCGAGATCCAATACACGTGGAATGGGGTGGAGAAAGGCGAGTGGAGAATGTGAGGACAAGAGGGGGAGAGGGGGGAGGAGCTGAGGAGATGGCGGAAACATCAACCTCGAAAAAGGAGTATTGCCTCAAAAACAAGGACAACGGAAGAAACAACCATCGCACACACACACACACACACACACACACACACACACACACACACACACAACACACACACACGCACGCACAAACACACACACACGCACGCACACACGCACACACACACACACACAAGTACACATCGCACCTGAGCCGATGCCGACAAAACCGTCAATGCCATCGCAGTTTTGGTAGCACGTGCCGTCGTACAGATAGCGGCCGCCCTGGCAGAGCGTGCAGTATGTTTCGCTGGAAGACGGGTTGAGGAAGCACGTGTTGCACGATGTGCCGCAGCTGCAGGCGCCCGTGTTGGTGAAGCCTGCAGCGCACAGCACCGTGCACGCGCTCACAGGGGCGCACTCTGCGTCAGTTGTCGGTGTAGGCAGTGCTGTAGCGTACTCGCCGTCGGGGCAGGGTGGCTTTGGCGCGCACTCGCGGTTTGAGGTTGGGGTGGGCGGTGTCACCTCAATCTCCTCCTCTGTGCACGTGCGCAGCTCAAGACACACGCGGTCCGTGGACACGGTGCACGCCTCGCTCTCGTACTGCGTGTCGAGATCGCACGGTGCGCACTCCATGCACTGTGTGTCCTGTGTGGCTGTGCAAGGCGCAAGCAGGAACGTTTCGCCGCCAACGCAGGTAGAGCAGTTGCGGCACTCGCGGTCCGTGCTTGCTGTGCAAGGCACCGTCTCGTACTGGTTCGGGTCGCATGGTCCGCACGGCTGCGAGCACGTGCGATCAGACGTGAGCGTGCAGGGGCTGGTCTCGAAACTGTCCTCTTCGCACGTGGCACAGTCGTCACAGGCCCTGTCTGTGGTGGCCGTTGGTGCCACAAGCTCAAACGTGGCACCTTCCACGCACGTCGTCAGGTTCTTGCATTCTGAGATGGATGATGAGACAAAATTTAATTTTGGGCAAGTGAGTGAAACATGAGTGATTTGATGTGACTGAATAGACACGCCAGGGTGGGCGGAGGATTCCTCCAAGTTGTCGCACTGGGCAGATCGCAAGGTCGCAGGCATTGTTTTCCAACCACAAGAGAGAAGAGCTCATGTAATGTAGTCATGTGCACGATACCGGCGTCCGAAGTGATGGTTGGAGCGACAGACTGGTACTGTGCAGACGTGCACTGTGTGATATCGTCGCACATGCGGTCCGACGTGAGTGTTGGTGCCTCCTTCTGGTACAAGGGGTCGTTGCACGTGCTGTATGGCGCGCACACTATTGGGTGACGAAGAGGCACAGATGGCGGGACGTGAATATCTGAGAGAATGCCGCAGCAGACTAGCAGAGCACTTGGAAAAGGAGCAGTGCAAGCAGAGGACAAGCCAGAGACAGGCAAGGCTCCGAAAGTCAAGGCAAAGAACCTGAACGGCAAGCTGGCAAGGCAAAGAAAGAAGAGGTCAAGCAGCAAGTTCGGCAACACCAACCTCGGTTGGATGTGGCGGTCGGGGCTTGTGCCTCGTAAGCTGTTGGGGGCACGTCAACGAGGTGGTCGGTGTTGCTTGGATCCGTCGGCAGGCAGCGGCGATTGAACGTGCCCTGAAGGGCGGTGTAAAACAGACGTGCAGCGTGGGAAGAGAAGAGAGTCGAGTGAGATGGGGACAAACAGCAGGCGCGCAGTGCTTCCACGCATAGACAACCGCGGCGCATGCAGGCCCAAATACATAAGTACCACACGGCACTGACACGCACACACACACACACACATGGCACTGACACGCATACACGCACACACACACACACATGGCACACATGATACACATGACACACGCACACGTGTATGCGCGCAAGACGTACGGTGCCGCTGTTGAAAAAGCCGGGAAAGCCAGTGCAGGTGTCAACGCATCTGCCCTGAAACAAGTAGCGAGAGGAGCTGCAAATGGTGCAGATTGGCTCATCGTCGCCAACACGCGTGCACGTGTGGCAGAAGGCGTTGCACTGACACGACTCGCTGGTGACAGTGTCGCGGCCACCGGCGCAACCACGCGCACACTGCGTCAGGTTACCACAGACGCGGTCTGAGGACAAGGTCGGCGCCACTCTCTCATACTGCGTGTCCTGCATACAGGTTGTCAGATCACGGCACGCATCATCAAAGCCACGGTACTGGGTGTCTGTGCAGGGTTCCAGCGTCGTTGTAGTTGTGGTCGTAGTTGTTGTGGTCGTAGTTGTGGTTGTGGTCGTAGTTGTGGTTGTGGTTGTTGTGGTCGTGGTCGTCGTTGTGGTTGTTGGAGGGTTGCTACACACGCGATCCGAGGACCATGTGGGTGGCTCAATCTCAAACGTGTCCTCCGGACAGTCTTGGACGTCTGTGCATGTCGGTGTGCTTGCTGTTGGCGTTGTGTCGTACGTACCCGTCTCACACCTGGGCACACACTCGCGGTTGATGGTGCCTTCGCCGGCCTCAATGTAGGCTGGAAACGCGGAGCAGTCCGCGTGGCAGGACCCGCTGTACAGGTACTTTGAGTTGCGGCACTGATAGCAGGTTGTCACACCATTGGTGATGTCACAGAAGGCGCAGGAGGCTTTGTCGGGGCACGTGGTTGTGAACACGGCGTTCACGCTGAGGATGCTTGCCACAAGCGCCACTGCAACGGCAACAACGGCCACACTGGCCGCTGTCTTGTTGAACATGGCAAGCGATGGAGGGAACTGCTCTGTACTATGCTGCTCTGTTGAGAGTGAGCAGGTGGAGGCCGAAAAAAGGTGTCGGGTGAGCGCGGGCAAGGGAAGGAAAGGAATGAATACTCTCGGACGTTATGACGTTACAGACTGCTGGTCAACGTCACAACAAAGACAGAGTTATTGCGTTTGCTTGCAGGCAACGCGTTGCACAGGATCGTGCTGAAATATACTTTTGCGCACTTTGGCGACCAGATGACAAATAGAAGACTCACTCAAGGACGCAGGCAGATGAAGCAAAGAAGGCGTGAGGAGGTGGTGAGAACGTACCCTGTGCTGGTGGCGCTTATCGATGAGGCCGACGATGGTGGTTGAGGAAGAAGGTCTGTCGTCGCTTGCTTGGAGGATGGCGTGGGTGTGGTGTGGTGGGTGGTGGAGAATAAAAAAATTCATCAGCCAGGTACTGAAGTCAGTCGACCAACCAGTCACCTTCCAACAACAACAATGATGACTGAATTCAGTGGTGCAGTGGTGTTGCGACCAACAACCACACACAGATATCAGCGCAGATATCAGACACGCTGCACAACAAGACTGTGCTCTCGCTATCTTCCCCTCCCCATCGTCTTGTCTCTCTCTGTCTCTGTCTTTGTGCTGTTTCCCTTCTTCTTTGCGTGAGGCTGCATGCTGACAGCAGCACAGCGGTGCCATCCGCTCGGTTGCGCCTCTTCTTTGTTGCTCCTGGTGCGCACAGTCAGGCAGCCACCACTGACAGTCACAGCTGGACGCAATTTGTGGCCATCCCCTGCTCTTCTGCACGGCCACAGGCACGCCAGCAGTGCACCAGCATCCACAGCCCCAGAAACCACGATTGCACAAGGCCTTGCGCACACACCTGTCAAGATGCTGTTTCTAAACAGGGAGCGCGTGGTTCCTGTGCCTGAGAAGGCAACATGGCTCAGCTCCGTCGTTCCAGGTGAGTCTGTGTGCGTGCGTGTGTGTGTGTGTGTGAGTGTGTGTGTGAGTGCAAGGGTGTGTGTGTGCGAGTGCAAGTGTGTGTGCGTGTGTGTGTGTGTGAGTGCAAGTGTGTGTGTGTGTGTGAAGTGGAGTTGCTCTGCTGCGTGCGTGTGGGGGGGGGGGAGAGCCTTTGTCATTTGCACCGGTTTTTGACATATCGTGGCACACGTCCTCACACCGTGTTCTGCTTGATATTCGTGGTTCTCAGGACCATACACGACAATGCGCACCATTGACGGCACATGCATTGTTGAGTTTGACCGACACATCAAGCGACTCGGTCAGTGGGCGTGCTTGAGCATGCGTTTGTGTTTGTGTTTGTGTGTGTGTGTGTGTGTTTGTTTGTTTGTGTGTGTGTGTGTGTGTGTGCGTGCGTGTGTGTTTGTTTGTTTGTTTGTTTGTGTGTGTGCGTATGTGTGTTTGTTTGTTTGTGTATGTGTGCGTGTGTGTGTTTGTTTGTTTGTGTGTGTGCATTTCATGTATGTACACGTACATGTGCCACGTCAATGTGCACGTTTGCTGGTGAAACGCTGCCCAAGGTGCACCGAGTCCTCTGTCGCCCTCCTTCTCTGTCCTCTGTCCTCCCCCTCCCCACTCTCCTCACCCTCCCCTCACCCTCTCACCCTCTCACCTTCTCCCCTCACCCACCCGCCAACGCTCACCAACACTTCCACGACTTGCCACTTGCCACGCGTGCAGTGAAGGCGGGCCAGACGGTTGTGTCGCGGATCCAGGGCGGCAAAGACGAGTTCAAGCGCGAGCTCCCAAACGAACGCGCCCTGGAGGTGCTGGCAAACACGGGGCAGCTGAGAGACATGGTGCTGGAACACATCCGCGCGAGCATCACGTGCTTCCACGAGACGGTCGTGCTGCAAGGCATGCGGGGGGAGGTGGAGGAAGCGCTGGAGAAGCGCATCACCGTGCTGCTCAACTGGGGGATGTCGTCAGACCACGAATTCGTCACGTGCGTGAACACGGCGGCCGATGGCAGCTGCATCAACACGTGGGTGTATGTGGAGGAGCTGCCTCCTGTGCCCAAGGCACCCGTGCACGTCATTATTCGTCGTCGACCGCCAGAGGCGCGCATGTACGAGGGCAAGGACAGCAAGGTGCGCTGTGTGTGTGTATCTGTCTGTCTGTCTGCCTGTGCTGTGCTGTGTATGGGATTGTGCTGTATGGGTTGTGTGTGTATGTATGCTGAGGGTGTGTATGTGTGTATGTGTGTGTTTTGAGGGTGTGTTGAGCTTCTCGATGATTTTCATCCCTTTTCTGCCCATACTCATTCCACACACACACACACACACACACACACACACACACACACACACACACACACACACACACACACACACACACACACACACAC